ACTCGGGTCTGTGAAAGTGAATGATGCTCCGCAGATTACCACTCCCGGCGATGACATTCTTTTGGACAGTGGAACCAATTTCTTCTACGTCTCACCAGATTACTACGATGATATCACTAAGGATGTCAAGGAACAAGCTGACAAGATTGCTGGGAGACCAGTGGATATAGAATACGACGCAGGAGCTAATCTGTGGAGATTCTCATGTGTTTATATGAACGCCTTGCCACCCCTGTCTCTAGGATTGGGCCCTCAAGGAACTGTACCCTTGAAGCTGACCTACCTGAACTACGCCTTGGATGATAATGGTTCCTGTTTCCTGCTTATCAAGAAAGGGGAAGAAGATGAAGCCTGGATGCTTCCTGCTAAAGCTGTCATCGGAAATTACTACGAGTTTCAGCCTGATCAGAGACGACTGGGAACCGCTCCAGCAATCGCCTGATGTTCAAGTCGTAGTCACGCCTCCACCTGCCCTGATAGGTCTTCGGTGAAGCCATGGTGTGGATTACACCGTGTAACATGATTCAGAGGATCGTTTTGTCTTACCCCATGTCACTAATCGATTTGTCTTAATCCACGTCAGTGATCGTTTGGTCTTGCTCCATGTCACTAATCGATTTGTCTTAATCCACGTCAGTGATCGTTTGGTCTTGCTCCATGTCACTAATCGATTTGTCTTAATCCACGTCAGTGATCGTTTGGTCTTGCTCCATGTCACTAATCGATTTGTCTTAATCCACGTCAGTGATCGTTTGGTCTTGCTCCATGTCACTAATCGATTCGTCTTAATCCACGTCAGTGATCGTTCTGTCTTACTCTCAGTGATTGCATTGTCTTGGTCCATGTCAGTAATCGTTTCGTCTTGATTCATGTCAGCGATTCTGAGTCTATGACCTCCTCATTGCCTGAGAGTATTTTCATCAGAAAACTTCTTGCGTCGCTTCTGGTCAGAAACAGTTGAGTTCGACCGAGACATGATTCTGTGATATGAGAAGGATATTACGGGCATAACCGCTTACTTCCGATGTGATTTCGACTCGTCACTTGAGTATAGTGTATGCAGTGTGACGTCATCGTGGCATAAGAATATGTTCCCGATTCGTGGGCACAGCTAGTTATCACAAATCGACCTATAGGTCATATTACTAAAATATGACCGCGACTGGCATTGAGATATAGTGAGCATACACGCGTAGAATAGTCAATCCTGAAAATAGAATTCTCGACTGGAGTATCACATTTTTGAATTAGGAATTAGAGAAAGAGTTCCGCGACATGCAAGGGAAAGGGGCCCTGGATGAAGGTAACTCCGCAAAATCGATGCTCTCACCGGCGAAATTGATTTCCTTGATCATGAAATTGTATTTCTCATCCGCAGGATTGACATCATTTTTTGACCCTTTTGACCGATACATGTACCTAAACCCAAACTCCAAATTAATGTCCTCACTCGTGTATGTGACGTCCTCGTCCGCGGGCACAGCGGCTGTATTCGCCAAAGGGACTCCTGATTCAGGAATCTCAGGCTCATCAGGCGAGAAGTCCAGGGATCTTGCATGCCATTCGGAAATGTATTCAGCGAATACAGCCGCCCAGTGAGTAGTCTAGTGAGGAAATCGTCAATGGTAGGGCAGCATAGTGTGAAGGAACTCCTCATATTATGTTGTCTCCTTCTTTCCTTACACAATAGCCTGCTGACTGTCAT